CCGATTTTGGTACCACATATATAGTACTACCGACTACGTATCACTTTACTACCGTATATACTTTTGTAAGTTACTTAACTTATTTTCTTTATTTTCTTATGATTAGCTATATCAATTATTATTAATTTGAATTTCTTTTATTATGATATTTTTTGTTAGCACTTAGCAATAAAAATAAGTTTTTCATTACATTTATACTTACCTTTTGTATTTTTAAGTTTATTATTTTAACTACATAAGTTATATATAATTACTTCATCAGCCTCAAGTTGAGTTGTAAAATTGACTTTTATGAGTCAAACAAATTCATTTTATTCATTTAATTGAGATATCAATTCTTAATTAAACTTTAACTTGGATTTTAACATTTTATTGAGATTTTGATGTAGTTTGGGAATATGTAAATTTTAATTACTCCGTATTAAAAATGAATTAATTATAAATAGGGAAGATTTACCTTTAACATTGAGACGGAGATAATATGATTTTTTTATATTAATAATATAGGGCCTTTTATTTAATTTTGAACAAGGCCTTCAATATTTCAGGACCGGCCCTGCTACCTACTTTTACTACAAATCACTTTTCCAATAATCACTTAAATAAATCACTTTTGAAAAGCACAAGCAAACGCAAACATAGTCTAATTCTTGTTACTTATAGATTGAAAAATAAATTTTCAATTTTTTTAGGATTAGGTCATTTTGATGCTGTGCCTTCAAACTTTACCATCCCCTGACCATTCAAATTGGATCCACTCGAATTGGACTGGGGGAGTATCGAGCATCGACCCAAAGCTTCAATCCAAATTCTCCCCTTAGGCTGGTAAAAAAGATTATTTCTTTGTCATTTACTTTTTGTTGATTGAAGAAATTAAAATTCATTTGCAATATTTTTCATTTCGCAATTCCTTGACAGGAAAGCAAACAGGTTATAGGCATAACTTTCCTTGTTCTTTCAATCGAACAAATCGATTACGACTTCGGGTACCTGAGTCATTAATGCCTATATAGGGGGAGAATAGAAGATGCTTCCTGAGAAACAACATGAAATTTTAAGTAGAATGCAGACTTATGCAAATAGGAGTCTTCTAGACTACCACGTTGACTAGAAAATGAATAAATTTAACAATAAAGCAAGAGTATCTGTCTACCACATTGACGAGAAATGGAAGAAACTTAACAGTAAACCATGAGTATTCGTCTATAATTGTATAGTTGTATAATTGAGCTTTTCTGTCAAATGAGGAAAGTATATGAAAACCAGACCTTTTTGCCTGCACAGCAATGGTAACAGCTCCTGTTTCAGATGGAGATCTGGATGGTGTTCTAGGCTTTGGGAAGAAAATGTGATAGGCGGGATTGAGACCGATGTTATGGCTCATGGAGAAAGAGGATGGTGTATTTAAGGAGATGAAGAAGAAGAAACATTTCATTGATAGCTAGACAGGGCTATATATGCATCTTTTGTGGAAGTAAAGGTTTTTGTTGAACGGGAAAGGTCGTTTTGATTTGCTTAAAGATTTGGTTAGTTCTGCTTATAGGACCGGTTTAGCTATATATTAATGTATTATACATAGTATAACTATCTCATTGAAGGTGTGTGGAACCTTTAACATGTTGATGAGGCTTGCAAACTTTTCAAGGTCACAATTCAAGAACATCTCCAACCCAACTTTTCCACTGCTAACCCCATTTTGCTGTCTTATGCAGAAATGAAAAGAATGGATGACTTCACCTTTTGCCTGGGGTCTACATTAATGAAGGTAGTATATCAAATTTATTTCATTATGGTGAAAGTTTCCGAAAACGTAATGCCAGCTTAGGAAATACTCACTCTGTCCCTTAAAATTTTGTCATCTTTCCTTTTTGGAACGTCCAAAAAAATTTATCACTTTCACTTTTAATCAATTATTTGTGGTTTCAATTATTTCTCCCTCCTCTGCACAAACCTCAACCACACAGTTTTTACTTTATTATTCCCCGTGCCGGTCAAACTTGGCAAAAGTTTAACTGTTTAAGGGACGGAGGTAGTATTTAAATAGTTGAAAATCAAGTGACATTACAGGGTTAGAGGCTATAATGTTCTCATAGTCACTACACCATTTCGAGAAGGCGAATAAGGCTCTAAAACTTTTCCAATAACTAAATGATACTCTGGGTAATAAAAAGTGTCAACTTTTATGATTCAGTGAGCTATAGTATCGCAATTTGAAAGTTATGTTGAGATTGATGAACTAGTTATCCGTGTACACATGCAATTAGGCGTATACACAAAATGTGTACAACTTGTGTGTACCAACAGTTGTTCCTTTTCTCTGTTTGCTATTCGTTCCGTGAGTAAGGGTCCTCCGTATTCAGTCAAGGGGTGCCATGGACTCATAGTCTCACCCTTGTCTACATATATTCCTTTGGGTTATACATAACTCGGGGTGAATGTTATGTTGCAGCGGGTATAAGGTCTACAACTATTGGCTGACCGATTCACCGTGATTTACAACCTCTCATATGTCCTGTCGGGCAGAGGCGGTCTTGAGAAAATACAAGTTAATAATGAACATAATAGCAAAATAAAAATCTTCATTAATAAAATACATTTCATTTAAAAAGAGACATTCTTCAGGAATATCTAGATGCAAAGTCACCTGCCAACTTTCAATATCAATCTTTTGTAATGTTTCAAACTATATTGATACCAACACCAATCCATTGAGTCTCTCTTGTGACATACTTGACCGGAAGTAGTATTTCAACAATTTTGACTTTAAAAAACTTCGTTCTCGGAGACGACAATATAGGAATGATCGGCAATGCCCTATATGCAATAAAGACACTTAGAAAACAATTCTTGTCTTTTAAAGAATTCAGTATTCTTGTTAACCCCATCTTTTCGTATGGCAGAATGTTTGTAAACAATGTCAGCTCAACATTCAAATCCACTCCATCAATATCACTGCATTGCTCATCCCTCTGTTGAACTGTTTGTAAATGAGTGCAACAAGATTCCATGTCTAAATCACTCAAAGATTGTAACTTCTCAAAATTGAACAAGAACCCAAACATATTTTCATTCACTTTGTATTGCTGAAATCTCCACGTCAATGAGCCAATAGACTGATATACCATGTACACAAAGTATTCCACCCCAAATAGTTTTTCCGGTGTTGTCGCGACTGATAAAGAAGATTCACCAACGTTTTCATCAAATTGTTTTTTTCTACGTATGACACAGCTTATGATGAAACATAAGTTTAAACTTCCAATTCACTAACAATTTCTTTACTTGCATCCATAGCAGTAAAAAACCCACTTTCTCAATACTTCTAAAAAAAGTAATTAACCCTTTGACTTGAACAATTACAACATCAAGAAACATATCTTTTGTTTGTAGATTTTTGCTAACCAAATTCACAGCATATAAAATTTCATACCTAATCAGTGTGGCTAGCAAAAACTCAAAATTACAAAGTTCATTTGTAGCTAGTGATCTAGCTTCATTTTGTATTTTAGAATCATTACTGTCTGTCTTTACCAATTCAAGAAAGGTTTCTCGAATGTCACTGATTTGAAATATTATTGCTTTGACATTTTCCACACGACTTTCCTCCGAGTGTTTGATAAGGATTTAAGAGTTAATCCTTTCACATTGTTTTTTTCAAATTTGCCATCTTTTTGTAGAATTAGCAAAGAGTGTGTCGATTCTTTGAATCTTTTAGTGATCTTAGTTTTCACTCCAGAAACAAGCTTTTGTATCAATTCATTTTGAATATTATGACTGAGATAATGGTGACGAGTATCCTTATTGTTCAGGTGCCTAATAGGCTCTTGAATAACAAGATCAAATTCACCCAACATCTCAATTAATCCCAAGAAATTCCATTATTATTCTGATGGAGCCGCTAATTTGTTCCAAGAAAGGCTAAAATATGTTTAAAAAGATATTTCACCGTTGCGATCACTCGAAACAACAATTGTTTCCAAAATACTTTTTCTTTCACAAGTTGATCATGTGAAATAAAAAGAATTTTGAAAGCAATTCTTGTTTCGGGTGATTGCAACGGTGAAATATCTTTTTAAACATAACTTAACCTTTTGTGGAACAAATGAGCGGCTCCATCAGAATAATGAGAATTTCTTGGAATTACTTGAGATGTTGGGTGAATTTAATCTTGTTATTCAAGAGCTTATTAGGCGTGTGAACAATAAGGATATTCGTCACCATTATCTCAATCATAAGATTTAAAATGAATTGATACATATGCTTGCTTCTGGAGTGAGGACTAAGAACATTATTAGAATTAAACAATTTACACTCTTTGTTAATTATATAAAAAGATGACAAATTTGAGAACACAATGTGAAAGGATTAACTCTTAAATTCTTATCAAACACTCAGTGAGAAAGTCATTCGGAAACTCTCAAAGTAATAAAGTTTCAAATCAGTGACATTCGAGAAGCTATGTTTGAATAGGCAGAAAAATACAATGATTCTAAAATAAAAAGTGAAGCTAGATCACTAGCTACAAATGAACTTTGTAATTTTGAATTTGATAGCCATAGTGATTTGGTATGAGATTTTATATGATTTGAATTTGATCATCAAAACTTTGCAAGCAAAACATATGCTTCTTGATGTTGCTATTGTTCAAGTCAAAGGGAAAATTACTTTTTTGAGAAGTATACAGACACTACTAGAAAAAACCTTATTTGCTGCGGTTGTTTTACCTTAATTGCTGCGGTCTGGAACCGCAGCAATAGCGGGGGGCAGCAAAATGTAAGAAAAGGTATTTGCTGCGGTTGCAACCGCAGCAAATACGAGACCGATTTTTTTTTAAATAAACACTTATTGCTGCGGTTCCCCTACGACCGCAGCAAAAAGCACGTTGAATTTTTACAAATTTCTTATTGCTGCGGTTCCGTACACCCGCCGCAAATACTTTACAGATTTAAAACATCCCTGCCCTATTTATTTATTATTTACTCTAAATTCACAATAACAAATTTTAGATCACCAAAAAAAATTGTATTTCTAACCATCCAAGTTCTCAGTCATTACAATAGTTACAATACAAGTTTAGTTTAGACCACCAAAAAGGCACATTACAAATTCAATCACATCCCAAGCAACAAAAAAGTATATTGCTACAATACATGGTTTATACAAGAGTTTACAAGAAATTGTCAGAAACAAATATGGCCCACATATCACGGATTTCACTGATTTCTGCCGTTGACAATGCATCATCTCTTACATTGCTCGTGTACACCTGATAAGCAATTTTAATTATTTCAGTTAGGATTTGCAATACAATTTCATAATAATTACATTGTAACATTTGTGACCTTTTTAGTGATTACTATTTCATTAACTAAATAAAAAATAACTTCATGTAAAAGTAATTAGCATATCTCATGAATAAGTATTGAAATAACCTGCTCCAGATCGTGACCTTCAGCGATACTCTTAATAACATCAAACATGAATCTCATTATATAAAATCCACATTCCAAACCGCCCGTTTGTTTTGCGCACTGTGATGTCAAATTGTACACATAACATATTTGTTTGAATTAATACATTCGCTATCAAGTTAGATCAATTAAATGATATAGTAAAAAAAATAGTTAGAGAATGTATATACTAATACCTTCATCTGTTTCCAAGTTATCTTTTTCACATGTCCACCACCACCACAAATATTTCTAAAAACACTATTATGAAAACATTCAACATTATAAACAACATAGTTCCGAAATAGTAAGATAATGCAATAACATTAATCATGTTTGCAAAGAATGATTTTATAAAATTACCTGCTGAACAATGGCATGATTAATAAGCGACGCATCGGGCTGGTACGGAGCGAATCATACATAAAAATTATGCCGCGTGAGATCCAAACCACAAGCAACACCCAGTGATGACTACACAAGTAATTTGAGATGGACGTTATTATGTAATAGCTAGAAAATCACATTTGTATATCGTTCATATTATAAATAAAATAAATCAACTTAATATATATATAGAAATGCATACTCTTCATAATAAGGAGCAACAAGAATATCTATGCCCGTATTCCGAGATTCATTGATGGCTCGATGTATGTAAACTTTCACATCTTCAGGGTTATTTTGACATGTAGTCGCACAAATTGAATCAGGACACATCCATCCAAGCTATGCATGTGTATCCAAACCCTGTAGATAATCCTGCATTGCTCTGTAAAAATAAACTGTGTTTAAAATGTGGCATAAATTAAATACTATAGTAATAAGTTGTACATGTTGAAAATCTTACATCACAAATACTTGAATAATAGCAATATTAAGCATGGCACCAGATAGAAACTGACTGATGTCCTCGATAGTAAGATAAGCATTACCATCATCAGATTCGTAATGGAACATTCTAGCATCTAATGTAACAACAATGGGATCATCGCTAGATCGGGATGCTATAATAGAGTGCATCCATTTGCAATCTCTGCTAAGGGACAATAGAACCTGTTCAGACACTAGAGATCGTTGTTTGGATGGCTTTTTATGGACGTCCATTTTCTTCTTTCCCTTTGATGATTTAAAACTTGTCGCCTACATATTATAACATGGTACATAACTAAATCAAATATTAAAGAAGTTTATTATACAGACATACACATTCAAAAAGACATATGCATGTACATATATACATATATACTGATTACTATTATTATTACCTCACTTATAAATTTCACCCAAATAAGTGGCAGATAGCTTTGTGTATTTTGTGCACCCGTGATATAATGGTTTTTCTGCTGCTTGTGACAAACTTTCAAATATACGTGGTCAATATAACTCATCATAACCAGTCAACGCTCTGTATTCTAAACAACATTTGCAAAACTCAGCTACCCCTGTCATAAAGTCCAATGTGTTCCGTTTACCATACATCCAGCTTCGATTCATCTTTACAGAAAAAAATGTAAGTTGCATTAGTTAGATTTTATAACCAAATAAATTAGGCTAACTAATTGACTGACTCTCCCTTGTCTCAGTTTTAGGCTATCTTATTTCTTTGTTCCTATCATTTAAAAAAGAAATAGACATTAAAAAACAACTTAAATTATTTTCAAAGAAAGGAACACTATGGTGCTTAGTGACATACAGCATATAATTAGACATCACTTTTGAGAAACATTGAATAATATGGGTTAGAAACTTTTGACTGTACATAACATATAAATGCACTATTTTCAAAGTGCTAATCTACAGTTCCCTGAAAACCCAATTAAAGTAATAATTTACTCAAGTCCACCACTTGTTTGAGATTAAATTAGTTAGATTAGATTCTTCTAAACGGCGAGTGGGTCTCATGAAGCAAGCAACAATTGTGATATCGTTGATATACGATAATGGAAAACAAAGCATATGAGAGAATATTGAATTACATATACTCTATAATTTCACTCTATTCTGTATGGCAACAGTATGAGAACCCAGTTAAGTTTGAACTTTTTGCTCCAAACGTTTAGCAACAAAAAAAGTAATATTGAAAATAAAAGGCCAAAGGTAAGGCTCATTTTTAATTAGAATGTGCATGCGCGGAGTACGTACGCAGGAGACGGAGAGGGAAGACAAGAGTCAGAGTGATGGAAGCCAAACCACTTCCCATCCGCTCAATCCATTCCATCACTTAATTACTACTTGATCTATCATTAGCACTGTTATAAGTCACAATTTTAATTACTACTCTATTGAAAAATGATAAGTTTTTGAAAAATTTGACAAAGTAAATAGGATGAAGAAAGTATAAATCTGTTGAGATGTTATAAAAATATGTTTAGTACAAATCGCTCTAGTTCACTAAGCCAGTTCTTTCACTGACTTCAATGGCTGCATTTGCAATAAGCTAAAAACCAGAGAAAAAAGAATTTCGGAATTTGTTTTGACTTATAAAATACTAAGTAAGTTTCACTCACTTCAGGATTTCCAGCATCCCACCAAAAAATGCATGTACAACTCTTTCATTTTCAACTTATTTGATAAAAGGACACAAAGCTGGCTGTTAAAAAAATAGTGACACAAACATCACAAAAACCTAATGATCCAAAACAACTCAAAACTAACAGATCATTTGGAGTCAAAAACTCAAATGTATGTCTTAGCCGTATACCTGTATCTTTTCAATATGCAAGAGAAGCATACGATTGAGCTCCTCAGAGCTCTTCTTCACAAATGAGCTGACGACCCTTCTTTTCAGGTTAGTTACCTACAACATTTTCCTAATTCATTACCTTTCTCATCCTAATTTATTTTATCTTCACATTTGATTATACACAATTTTTATTCAAGCTAAGGGCACATTCCATGTCTCAACACAATGGAAGTTGGGATATAAAGTTTATGGACGAATGATGTTTTCTTTTTTTAATTATGGACGAGAGAATTACTTTAAGGAAGCAAAAGAAACTATTGAGTTACATTTCTGTGTTCTTTTATTTGGGTCGGTGGTGGAAGGATATTTGATCTTTCACCTGGTTCCACCTCTGCTTGAGCTCCATACTCCGTAGACATTCAACTTATTTCAGCAAAAAAAAGATATAGCTATAGACATTGGGCCCCAATTTTCTTCACACGTGTGTGACAAGTCTCATTAATTTCATCCAAACATAATCAATACTAATTCAATGTATCCAAAAAAAATTACTAATTCTATCACTTAATACAAATGCTAATAATACCAAATGTAAAATAAAAGGTTGGAAAATAAACCTCTATTGAGCGAATGAGTCGGCAAATGATTGTACTAGGAAGGAGCGGCGTTGGGCGGCGTTCGGCCGCTACTGGAGCAGATGCGTTCAGCGGCTACATCTGAAGGAGCGGCGTTCAGCAGATGTGGCTGGGAGGAGCCGCGTGCGGCGTTTGCGGCTAGGAGGGACGGCGTTCGGCGGCGACGGCTGCGGCTGGGAGGGTCGGCGTTTGGAGGCTACAGCTGTGAGGGGCGGACGATCGACGACGAGTAGAAGAAGTCTGCGGTATCTGGAGGGTTTTTTGGAGGATGCGATAAAGATGAAGAAGTATGAACGGATCTGGTTATTTTAGTGGTTATTTAGCTGCGGTCAATAAAGACCCGCAAAAATATTCAGAATATATTAAGATAATGTTGCGGTTCTGTAGTAACCGCAGCAAATAATTCAAAATTTCTTACTATAATGATGCGGTTTCTGTGTAACCGCCGCTATTAGTTCAAAATTTTAACATTTTGCTGCGGGTATGCCTACAACCGCAGCAATAAGGGAGCAGCAAATGACAAAAATTCTAGTAGTGAGAAAATGGGGTTTCTATGCTATGGATGCAGCCACAAAAATAACAAGTGATTTGAAAGTTGAATCGGTGTTTTCTTAGAAGCGTGTCATCCGTAGGAAAAAGCAATTTGATGTGAGTATTGGTGAATCTTCTTTATCAACCATGACAAAATCGAAATAATTATTTTGGGTGAAATACTTTGTGTACATAGTAGATCAGTCTATTAGCTCATTGACATGAAGATTTATGCAAATACAAAGTCTGAACATATGTTTGGCTTCTTGTCCAGTTCCGATAAGTTACAATCTTTGAATGATTTGGACTTGGAATTTGGATGCATTCGTTTACAAACAATTTTGCAGAGGGATAACCAATGCAGTGATTTTGATGGAAAAGATTATATTGAGCTGAAATTGTATAAAGAGATTCTGCCAAGCGAAAAGATGACGACAACAAGAATATTGAATTATTTAAAAGAAATGAATTGTTTTCCAAATGTTCTTATTGCTTATAGGGTATTACTGAACATTTTAATTCTCATCGCCTCAGCAAAACGAAGTTTTTCAAAGCTGAAGGTGCTGAAATCCTACTTGCGGTCAAGTATGTCACAAGAGAGATTTAATGGATTGCTATCAATAGAGTTTGAAAAAGTTCAAGATATTGACATCGAAAGTTTGGTAGATGATTTTGCATTTAAATATGCTCGAAGAATGTCTATTTTTAAATGAAATGAATTTTATTAATGGAAGACTTTTGTTTTTACTATTATGTTCTTTATTTATTAACTTGTATGTATTTTGAAATAAATTTATATTAGTATTTATTACTGTTATCATCTCTATTTATGTTTTATTTCAATTTATGTTTGAAATGAATGCCCAATATTTTTTGTTGGACATGGTATCCATTTTCTCAGGACGGGCCTTGAGTCATTTCATCATCATTTTCATTTACCCCAGTGCCACAAAGGCTCCCACCAACGGTGGGGTAAGGGGGGTCGGATGTACGCAGTCTTACCCTTGTACTAAAGCACAAAGAGTCTGTTTCCTGATGACCCATAGTGTAAGGTAAACAAAATCCAAATTTAACCGAGTAAAAGAGTGTTTTTCAGTACTTCTAAAAAGTGTTTTTCAACTTTTAATTAAGTTATTTTATGTTTTTAAATGGATATTTTTCTTAAATTAAACACTTTGGAAACTTGAATCAAGTGAGGGGTGTTTTAAAAAACATTTCACTTTATCTAACTTTTACCTTTTTTAAAATCATTTTTAAACACTATAAGCTTTTACTCCTTTTACTATTAAATATTAATCACTTTTTGTATATAATCTCTAAAATTAACCACTTCTCAAAAGTTGGAGCAAACGTCAAACACCTTAACTCGATAATGATTTTTAGCATGCTTTTCAAATGTGGAGGAACTGAGATTGGTTACTACATCTTCAAGTCGGTGTCCTGACCTAGTCTAATTCTGGAACCAGATCTATCAGTACTACCCACGGTAACCATGCTAGTATGTGCCTGCAAATTTCCTATATTACCATATTGATTCTGGTCAGTAACCATTTTTTTTAATATGGCGCCTTTTGAGAGAAAGAAACTCATAACATCTGTTTATGGCCATTCTGTAGTTGTTTGGAAATGAGGGCTCTAATTCCTGCACCTCTAAGAATCTGGATCTCACACATGCATGCATGCAACATGTGGTCAAATTAAAGGGGTCTCCAGGATCTTGTTTCCTCTATCTACTTCATAATTAAGTAAATCCATGCCATGCCCATTTTCATATGTTTAATACTGTATTGAACAAACAACATGTAGGGAGGAGTTAGGCATGTATATATATTATGATGATATGATAATTTAGGATAGAATATGAATGTGGGACCAAACAAGGTCATGTTCCATAGCCACACAAAAAGAAAACTCAGAATAAAAGCTCCAAATTTGCATGTGCGCATTGATGAAATGGATTTGGTGGGCACAAGCCCTTATTACCTTTCCCAAATAATATAATATTTCACATCCATTGGGCAGATCTGGTTCACTACATGCATGTTATAAGCCAGTTGATGTCTTCTTAAACAATTACACCAATAGAAATGAAGTGTCCATGTTTCTGGGATTTTGGGCAACTTTGACCCATTTCCACATGCTTTGATGATTTTTATAACCACAACTAATGTGGGCATCTTTGAGCTCCACTTTCATATTTCTATATTGGGATCTCCTCTTTACCACACAATATGTTATTTTTTTTGTAGTTGCTATCTTTCCATGTTCCTTGGGTAAATGATACGTGTATCATTATTTTATATATGGTCATTTTATACTTGCGTATTTTAAAGTTTGTTGCTACACTTTCTAATTTAGGATATATTTAAAAGTTTGCTATACTTTTTTTATGATGGTAAATTTTTTCATTAAAAATACCCATAATCTTACTTTTTCTACTTTTTACCTTCTTTTCATATTTTCCCACCTTCCCTCCTATTTTATTTTTTAAAATATTCATTACCCCTACTATTTGTCTATTTCCTCCTTGAATATTATTCTAAAGCCTAATGTAATAATCTTATACTACGTAATACGTACACATCAGGGAGTACTAATTTTAGTTGGAATCGGAAGGAGCTCATATCATCTATTTTTTTTTAATGTGAGATGGACTAGCAATAAAGAACATGTTTGGAGCTCTTCTCATTTGGAATGTCTCGGACTCTCGGAGATGGAATTGGATTCACGGTTTGTCTCCAGGAAGACATGCCTACCATCTATCTGAAATTAGACATTCCTTAGGCTAACCGCAACCCATCTCCGTCAATAAATCAAATTTATCATCATTTTATACGTATTCATTCGGTCAATTCAATTTTTACTGCAACCCAGTACCGTCAATATATTCACACAGCAAAATTATTTTCAAATATTTCCTTAATTTTATTATTACACATCAAGATTTTATTCATTTTTTTTATTGTGAATAATTATGATTTGAAAAGTCAAACATTTCAATGTAAATAAATAAATAAATTTGGACTTTAGTTTTTAGTGGTTAATTTAGACCTATTTTTTAAAGAAAAATAATAGAAAGTTGTAAAGAAATATTTTAACCATGAGATTTTAATTTTAATATTTGAAATTATTAAAGAAAAAGTTTAGATCTAAAAATCTAGAACAGTTGAAACATCATATTCTTTTTGAACTTTATATATCCAATATTGGTGTCATATGAAAGATTATAAAAAGTTATAAATTTTAATATACTTTTTGTAAAAATTGGAATACAAATAAAAAAGTTATGATCCTTTAAATAAAATTAGGATTATAAATTTGGATGGGACCAGCTTTCCTTTGCATACGTCCAAGCTACTGTTCTTTTGTCTCTTCCGTGAATAACGTAGCACGTATCCACTCCACCGGTGCTCTCTAGCCACTTTAGCACCATGTTATACCCTGGGTTGCAGCCATATTTGGGGTCAAAAGCTCAAATATAGCCTTTTCACCCCAGGATTGCAATCAGCCTTACGACCTTAGTCAGTTAGTTGACAGTGTAATTGAATGCAGTGGGGGGTGGGGGGGGGGGGGAGCCCTTTGATAGAGAAATGCATAACTTGTTTTCTAACAAGTCTTGGAGTTAGAGATAAATTAAAGGAAAAAGTACGGAAATGTGGTTTGGACCGTTTCTAGATAAAGATATTTGTTTCATTTTTAACAAAGTGAGATATATGTTTCAATTCCGTCACAGCTTAGACATGACGTCTAATGCCGTAAGAAAAATTAACTCTAATTTCCAAAAGTTTCGCAAACTGTTGCTCTCTTTGGATTTCTGGCTCTATTTAAATTATTTTTAAAAACAAATTCGTTAATATCATTTTTCCGGTGACTTTCTGGCGACGGGGTGACTTGAAACAAAAAAAGATATATGGTCTGGAGGTCTTCTTGACGAGACGTATTTCCTAGTATTTTTCTTTTAATTTTTCGGGGACTTGAAAATCGAATTTAATTATTCTAACGACGTTAGACGCCATGCCCCAGTTGTGACAACGGAACTGAAACACATGTCCCATTTTGTTAAAAAATTAAACACATGCCCATATTTGAAATGGCCCAAATTACATGTACCTTTTCTGTACTTTTCCTACATTTAAAACAAAAGAAGTGCATATTATTGAGATGAAAAAAAATTGTTAAAAATGATCTAAAACAAAATTTTACATATTTGGAGGGATTAAAAACTTATTTAAGCCCAAATTAATATGTGGATCCTCTACGATAGATGGTGTAAAAACTAAAAAATAGCCACAAAGACGCTCATTGTATTGGAATGATAGTGCGATGCTTATTTCAACCTATCAAAACTGACTCAGATCAAAAATAAAATTTAAGTACTACTCCGTATGATTTATACACTAGCTATTATTTATTTTTCAGTGCCTTCAATATGAACGAAAGAATCAAATATATTGGATTATGTGCAAAGTACTAATAAATTAATCATCATTTAAAGAGAAAGAGTTGAGAATTTGGAGTCTTATTACAAGAAAACTTGTTTAGTAGCTTAAGGGATGATGCCTTGAGCCCCAGACATTTTACTATGGTAGATTTTGTGATACACTTACACAAATATATTTGTGTTACTTATATTTAAACTGTCTATCAGTCTATGTCTAATAAACTTATGACTATAAAGAGGATTTCACTAAATTGGAAATTCAAAGCTTTAGTTTTAGTTTTTCACTTATGGAGATATGCTTGCGTATTTGCATATGTTTCACAATAGCTTGTCCTAAAAACTGTAACATCAAATTCA